AGCAGGTATTTATAGATTTCTTACAGCCCCATATTTCTACCTTGTGGGAATTGGCGAAAGCAACCACTGATAGATTTATTCTCCATTAATTGTCTGATGTCTTTTAAATGCATTCAAACTTTTGGCCCTGATGAGTTCCACATTTTAATTATATTGTGTGAAGAGAGGAAACGAAATGATGTAGCTCCATTGACATCAAACAGAGAAACACTGTTATACATCAAGCTGGGAAGCATGTTACTGGTCTACTTGAAGTGTGTTTATAATAGGTTCACAGCATGCCACTCTTTCATGTGGTAGCAGGAAAAGCCAAGCATGTCTAAAAGTAACAAGGCTAGTATGAAATTTAGACTTAAGTGTACTAGCAAAAGTTCACTTTGTCTTCATTTTAAAGAATTATGAAAAAAGGAAAGCACATTAAAAATTGAAGCTTGTGACCTGAAAAATAGAAGTCATATGCTGAGACGTCTAGAAGATGTGTGTGCATCTGTAAAATCTATTCCATCTGGTTTATCTTATTCATTGAGGAGGAGAATTTTAGTTATACGGCTGAGCATATGAAAGTAATTTATTTTCATAGTCATTTTGATTACAGTATTCCCTTATAGTTCTTTAAGAGAAAGGAGAAGGATTATATTAAATCTTTAGTTAAAAGAAATAAAACAAATATTCAATTATCTAGATATGAATGAAAATATGTGAGCAATGAAAAAAAATCTTGCATGTTTTATTCTTTGTGGGATTTATCTTTTTAGCTGTCCTTAGAACAATAAATAAGGCATAGCGGGTACTCCATTTTCAGTAGGTTTCTTGCTAAGCTGTAGTGGGCAGCTCTGCCTTGTGCTGATTTTGATGTACCTGTAGGTGTACCTGCCAGTACTCTGGTCTTCTGCAGCCTGCACAGGGCAGGCAGGAGTCCTCTGGCCATTCAGCCAAAACTGCCAATACTGGGCAGTTTTATGTAAAGTGGGAGTTGCACAGGGAAACTACCAATGAAAAAGTCAATTTTTAACAGGCAAAAAACCTTATTTGCTGATTAAATCCTCTGTTGTCTGTAAATACATTTGTTAGGTTAAGTCTTCCTCAGCTTGAAATCTGTACTGTAGGTCCTGTCGGCTTCAGTGGGAGTTTGCTGAAATCTGAGGTAGCTATTTGCAGTTTTGTTTTGTTTTGTTTTTGTTTTGTTTTCCCTCCTCATTCTGATGAGTCATCTCTTATGTCCATTCTTATGTCCCCGTTTCCTACTTAGGAGATTGCCCAAACCCCTCATTTTTATGAGGAGGATTACTTTTGGCCAAGGTGCTTGAAAAGGTTTATGTTGATTCCTGCTTTGTAAGCTGGTATATATTTATGTACAGCAGAAAAATATTGCATAGACATGATCATAAATAATTCACCATTCATTTCAACAAGAGGAAATTACATGCTACATTATTCAAGAATGTACAAAGATACTGCTTGTTGTGTAAAGAGAGTAATATTCTGCCAGTGAGCCGACAGCAGTTTTGCAACTAAAATAAAAAGGCATAAATGGTTTATTACCAACTCAAGTCTCACAGCTTTTCTTCTGTCTGCAATTCACATTCTTCTGCTGTCAGTGTTGAAATACAAAAAAGGTAAAGTATATCTGTGATTATGACTGCTGGAAATGCTGACTGGAAGAAACAATGAAGAGATACTTTAGATTGCTCGATTTTGTGGGATGGATGAGGAAAACATGGGCTCCTTGCACTGGGGAAGATCCTAGGCCTTCTGGATGTGTATTCTTGATTGCACAGTGAAAGACTGGAGAATGTATTTAATTAAAACTTCTTGGTAAAGAGAAGGGAGTGGCTGTAGGGAATTATATCCTGGCTTTTACATGTTTATTGCTGTAGGTTGTTGTTTTTTTAAAAAAATCTTTCATATTGCATGACCATGACAGTAGGAAATCATATAAAATGGTACGCCTGCAACTAACAGTTATTAAAAATCAAAATCAAAACACAACAAACAAAAAAAGCCCTCCCTCTATTCTGTTAGCTGAGTAATATATCATATTGCTCAGTGGTAGATCTTCAAAGAGATCATCTAATAAAACAACTTGTAGTGCATATGCATAAGCTGGCAGAATTATGGTTGCTTGTGGAACTTTAAATTTTTTCTCCTGACTGGTGTGATTAAGATCTCAGTTTTACTGGGGCCTAAGCATATTTCTTCTTTTTTTTTTTTTTTTTTTTTTTCTTCCTTCCCTTGTATCACCTTCCCAATAAAGCATTTTCCTCAGCTTTCAAAAGTGCAGTTAGTAAGATCTTTCCTTGAGTTAGTAATATGTATACTGCAGTTTCATGAGAAGTGTCTGTACCCATTAAGAGTTCAATAAATTTTGGTCCATTTTATTAACATGCAAATGGACATAAAATAGGACTCAGAAGCTTATGCAGTGTTTCTAAGATCCTGTGATCTGAATCCATCAATGTATCTCTGATAGCTCTTTTAAAAAGTTTGAGAATTAATGTCAAATACACAAGTTTTGAATTGATTCTGCAAGAGTGTTTGGGATAAATTTGTTCAATTCATAACACTGTGAAAGTTTCAGGTGCCTGTTAGAAGAGTACTGGAAAATAAAATGGATTTCTCTTTTAGTAGTGCACAGTAACTGGTCCCTCTGAAAATACATAGCATGGAGCTGGAGAGCAGAGGGCTGGGAGGAGACTGAGATACTTGTTGGGTATCGTTGAGTTTGGGGTGGAAGGTCTGCACAAATATATACAGGTAGCACCTAATAGGCTTAATTTTACCAATGCTGTAGTGTTCCTTCTGGTTACCCAGATCTTTTTATAACTATCACTGTAACCTGCTGCCTGTTCTTTGTGCATCTTTCTATAAAGGTGCATCTTTCAGCCCCCTCTTTTTTTCAGGGCCTTTGTTTCCATCCCACCTTCCTGCAGTCTTTTCTGGGGGAAGGAACTCTCTTGGAAACTCTGTTCTTACCCCAATGGATGATACCCAACTTTGCCCTTCCTGAGTCTCCTCTTGACTCCATTTCTTTCCCAGTGAAAATCTTTGCTCAGGTGCCTTATTACCTTGCATTTTGACTTGCAAAGTGGAAACTTTTTCACTTGTTGTCAGAACCTCCCTTTCTCATCCTCCCTTTTGACTGTCCATGTCATTTGGAGAACTGCTGAGCTCTTCTTACTTTAAATCTTGGATCCTTCTCTCCCCATTATGGTGCTGTTGAGGAAGTGGAGGTGTTGGGGGGAAGTGAATCGCTGCTCTCACAGAGTTCATGTGAGGATGGACAAGGAGTATCACAGAGACAGAACCTTACAGCACCTTAATTCCCAGGGACTAAAGGGAAGTTGTGTCTTTTCTGGTTAACAGAAGCCAAAATAAAAGTTGACCTTCAGAGGCATAACTGCTTCTTTATTTTTCAGTATCTTTTTATTTTCCTTCTCATTCTGTCCAAGCTTACTGCTTTGTTTCTGACTTTTCAAAATAGTTTTAAAATATTTCCTGTCATAGAATGGCTTGGGTTGGAAGGGACCTTAAAAACCATCCAACTCCAACCCCCCTGCCCATAGGCAGGGATGCCACCCACTAGATCAGGTTGGCCAAGGCCCCATCCAGCCTGGCCCTGAACACCTCCAGGGAGGGGCATCCACAGCTTCTCTGGGCAGCCTGTTCCATTCCCCCTTGTCCTATCATTATCTATCTATCTATAAGTATTATCTAGTATATTGAAGCACATGTATTATCTGTGAATTTTGTATTTGTTAATCTCTGTTTTGAGAAACTGGATTTGTTTTTGACTTTAAAATGTGAGTAGTTCCAGGAAGTTATTTAATAAGGTACAAAAACAAGGTCTAGAGGAACTATGCATAAATATGCTGTAATTCAGACCATCCTTTTGAAAGCTGATGACTTGTTTGTGAATTTGTACATCTCTGCTCTGAATTCTGTCTGGGAAGCCAGGCATGAATGCTGTCAAAGGTAGACACAAATACTTCTAACCACCTCTAGTCACTTTTTGGCTATGAGCAACTGTGCTAATGAAGTGGTTAGAGGAGGATAGCATGTGTCCTGTGCAGCTGGGTCCTTTAACCTGCATGGATGTGGAGGTCTCCGTGAGACCCATGAGTGCTCAAGTCCTTGGAGCAAGGAGGCATCCACTCATGTGGTCGTTTCTGCACAACCTCTCCTGTGCTGAAGTGCAACTATTTAAGAGGATTTTCTGGATCAGGGCCTTGTCTTGAAATTGCAGTACTGATTGTACTTTTCATTTAACTAACACATCTTGCCTTTTTTATTGAGTGATATCTTGTCAAAATGTATTTGACAGGTAATGCTGAAAGCATGTTAGTGCCTTTGCAGTGCGTCACTGGTGGTTGCTCTTGTCCCAGAACCACTTGTTCCAGAAGACAAAGATCCCGATAGGAGTTTTTGCTTATGTCTATTATTTAATCTCTTAAATTTACTGAATGTTTTACTTGTGGCTTTTTTATTTGTTGTTTGGCTGTCTTCCCCATGTGCTTGAAAGCATACTGTTGTCTTATCTCTACATTGTCCTCTTACCTGGGTTCCTGCCCCACTTCAGGAAAGTTAATTTTAAGGTCCCTGTGCACAGAAAGAGGGTGAACATTTAAACCCGTGTTACTGGCTACTGTCCAAAAATGCTTTCAGACTTAAAGAGCAGATTAAAAGCTGTTATAGAGGTTAGTGAGCAGGTGATGTAGGTAGAGTAGTGTTACCTGTGTCAACAACTGCTTGCTGATGTGAGCAGGTGGGTGACTGAAAAGAAATGGCAACTCACCGCAGGCTTGAAGCCAAGCGTTTCCTGGGTTTAATATCATGAGTGCTGCAATTAATATACTTAGCAAACAGAAAGCATCTTTCAAACGGTAGTGTGAAATTACTTGTGATGGATTGCAGTTTTGCTATGACCTTGAATGAAGGTGAATGTAGATATTACTCAGTTTGCTCTTGTGTGTGTGTCAACACATATGCTTTTTTTCCTTTAGGTTGCACAACGCACATCTTTGAGAACATTTCTGAGACAATGAAGCTTCCAGGAACAGAAGTCTGGTTCGGAACTTGCTTGTTTTAAGAGTATCTGGGAATTTCTATGCATATTTGCTTATTCCAACGAAATCAGAGGACAATGAATTCTTTTTATTTTTTGCATGTTTTCACACTAAGTAACAACTTTTCTTCTTTCCCGTTCTGTTCAATGGGAAAAACTTGAGCCAGTTGTGTAGCTGATTTTTATTTTGCCGCATTCCTCATCCTGAGCCAAATTCTTGGAAAACACGTCTACAATACATCTATTTTTGTAGTTGGATTTTTTTCCCCCTGTATATGTTTCACTTTTGGAGTCCTTTTAACTGTTCTGGTTTGAACCTGTCCTTCTGTGTCACTGAGAATTCATAGAATCACTCAAGGAATTAAATAATTTCAGACTTGCAGAAGATGACTCATATGCTTCAGAAACATTTTTGTGGCTGTGCTTGGCTCATTAATACAGGAGTTTAACAGTACTAATATGAAGCATTGCATTAATTGTTGCATACATTTATTACCAAATGACTTGCACAGACAGTGTTTCAGATGCCGTGGACCTAGCCATAATAACCAGAAGTGTCCCGTTTGCAAAGGAGAAAATAAAAACCATTTGTACACTGATAGCAAGCAGATGAAGTTGCTTGCAGTTTTGGAAGTAAGGACTGATCACAGTGAAAGCTGGAATGGATTTTTCTGCTTGAAGAAGGGGAAGCTATGCAGCTTAATATTTGGGTTGATTATAATGACTCTAGTGATGGCATCCTACGTACTGACTGGAGCCAAACATGGCCTGTTGTTAATACCGTCTCCCTTCCATTACGGAGCTTTTACTAGCAATCCAAGCTTAATGGACAATGAAAGCCTTAGTGACATGAAAGACCATTACCAGTCTTCTAAAATTAATATTTCATATGTAAAGGATTATCCAAGTATTAAATTAATTATTGACACTATTACTTCAAAGATAGAGTTTATAACAAGACAGCGCCCTGATTTAGAAGAGCTGAGGAAACAAGAGCCACATGTAAGTATGAGTTAAAGCGTGTCTGAAATTAGTGCATGCTGGTTTATTTCAAGAATTTGGGGTCAATCTTTTGCTGAGATAAAAACAGTGCAGATGTTCTGATGTTCATATTGTGATTTATACCACCTGGAGTCTCCTTATTTATACCAGTTGAAGAGCTGATGTTATAGATCAAGTCCTTCAGAGTCACAGGCAAAATGGATGGGCTATATAAATGGTCTTGACACCTGGAACAAAAAATCAGGCAGTCTTCCGGCAGCTGTACACTCTCATTGACTTGAGAACCTTGTCTCACCCAAAATCATTCTGAGTTAGTCAGATTTGCCAGTCACCTAAAGTGATAAATAAGAAGGGAGACTTTCTAACTACCTGTGTGCATTCCTGAAAAACTGGTTATTGCAAACCTTGTATTTCAGAATTAACAACTGGAAGTTAATTTGTATATTACAACTTTGACTTTAAAAATTAATTCCTGGGGTGGTGGGGGATGTGGGATATTATTAATCTGCCTTCTGGCCTTAAATTCAAAGGATTTTTAAATGTGCTTCTCTCCTAGTCCACCTGTTTGCACTGGATTTTTTTCCAGTGCCATAAGAAGTAAGTTAAGTCAATTTCTTAGTTTAAATACTTTTTTTTTTTTTTAATTATTATTTATTTATTTATTTTTAATACATATAAAACAAGGCAGGGGGGCAGGGGTTGTTAATGCTAATGTTTCTATTGTGTTCTATCATTGTGCTAAGTTAAAAAAAAATATAACTGCCACTTTTTTCTGCCTTGACTGAAATTATTGTTCTTTATGTTGCAGATGTTTTCAGTAATTCCTAATAAATTCCTTCCAAATAGCAAGAATCCTTGTTGGTATGAAGAGTACAGAGGAAACACAACCACAGATCCTTATACAACCAACTCCTATGCACTGTATTCAAAGCGTTTTCGAACCATATTTGATTACCTCAGGAAGGTATTTTGGAACCACTTATACCATTACAAGGACAAACACTACCGGCTGCGTTGCCTCCCCCACTTCTACATCATCGGCCAGCCCAAGTGTGGGACAACAGATTTGTATGATAGGCTCAGGCTGCACCCCGATGTTCGGTTCTCAGCTATCAAAGAGCCACACTGGTGGACAAGAAAGCGGTTTGGTGAGTAAACGTGCCTACTGACATTCAAGAGAGTGGTCTATGAAGCTCTGATGTTACTTGTATGTATTGGGGGTGAATTATATGGATTTGGTCCATATTGGTTTACCTTGAAACGACCAAAGGTGATGGATGCTCAATAGGTTCTAGCCTGCTTCTGTTTAATAATGTATTGGGTTAAACCTTTCAAGACGATGCACATTTAATTTGGTTTCATTGCAGTAGATTGGAAAAATATAGATAAATATAAAAACACTGGATAAAACCAACTTGTATTTTGTAAAGCCTAGAAAAAATACAGGCTGTGATAAGAGGTTTAAAGAATAATGGTAATAATTTTACCATGCAAAATTTTTCTGTGAAGCATGAATAAATGATGGGACATTATTTGATACATGAGTGTCTTCTGTCCTTGTGATTGAGTAAATGCAACTGTGTATTATAGTGGCAGCTTCACTAGTGTTACAGCTCTAGTCAAATGCTCTGTGTGAGACAGCTCTCTCCCACGGAGGAACATGGATGTATTCCTGATGCTCTTTTCCTGAGTGACATCAATATTTTAGGAAATGGTTCTTCATCTCTGAAGGCAGAATGGAATAGCTGAGGTGGTGGCTGCTTCTTCAAAGGGTGTCTGAGAACCACAGGCCTCGATGAATTCTTTTATCCAACGGAAGAGTTTATATCTTTCTTGTTCTCTCTTCTGTGGGTACCAAGGCAGGTCAGTCTTGTGGTTAAAGACTGAATGAGACTCAGAAAGTCCAAGTTCAGTTCTTGACTTTACTGTGTGCTTAGTGCTTTCACTAAATGCAGGTGTGTATAGTACTTGCTTTATTTCACCCAGGCTTTGTGTTTTCTCACTGCAATAGTGGTTGGGTCTAGCTGTGAAAATCTAGGATGCTGATATCAAATTTCACAGGCTTTTCAGTGGTATTATTGTTTCCAAGAAGATGCTGGTTATTTTACAGTGATGTTATCTTTCCTCCCGTATGTGATTTGCTGTGCTTTAACGCAGCCAATGCCTTTGGAGCAAGGAAAAACCTAGCACTGTGGGGTAGATCATTTGTTGAAGCCTTTGCATCACTACTTCCCTGTGGTGCTTCTCCTGAGCTTCTTTGAAATCGGAAACTCTCTCCCCTAATGAACTGCCATGGCTATCATTAGGCCGCTTTCTGAGGAACTGGGACACCTGCAGTGCTGCTTCTGTGCTTTATTTTGGGGTTGTACCTTCAATTCTTTCCCATACACATGGTGTTACCATTTTCATCTCCCCTCTTTTTGCCTTGAAGCCCTGAAAAACCCTTGAGCTCCTGCAGATGGAGGCTTTGATCATTGCTGTTTGGTGAGGAGAGGGCTCAGTCATAGATCTGGGATTCTTAATTTCTTATATAGAAATGGCTTAGCTGTTGTCTTGGGGTTTATGTTTTCTTCCTTTGAAAATGCCGTGAAAAAGTGGCTCATACCAAACCCACAGTGGTGTTTCATATATAGTGCACCATAAAGCTAGCACAGAAGCAGTGAGCCTGGCTTTCTTTGTCTCAAATACAATTAACTCTCTTCAATGTATTGTAGACATTTTCTAAATGTTTCTTATAAATTAAGATGTAAAGCAATAAGATGAAAATACAGTTTTGCTTTTGAGATAATTGTCTCCAGTATTGGAGACATGGGAGGTACCGGTGTGAATGAAGGAGCTGGGCTAGTTGCAAAGTCAAAGCAAAGAAGCATCGTGGTGCCTCCTGAAGTCCCCTGAGAAGGAGTTCATTCATCACAGTCAGTGGCTGACTGAAAATGAATGATAAGATTTGCCTCATGACCTCCAGGTGGAAAGTCAGATCAATGAGGAAAGTGGATTTGAGACTTGGACACCTTCCAGTGTGAATGCCGTGCTGCTTGTCTCTGGGTGTCTAGATGCAGGGATCATCAGCAAAACCGTCTGTGGAAGATTATGTCTTCCAGGAGAGTGCTGGCAGGAAAGGCAGAAGCAAACTCTCAAGTGATGCACTAAGCTAAAATCCTTGATGCTAAACAAGTATCTACACTTAGTGTAGTCTTAACAGCAATGTTTGCAATTCATGGTGGAGGAGGCTGTGCACTCAGTCTCACTAAAGCCAAGACAGTTGCTCAGAAATGGACCAACTGATACCAAATGGTCCAACTGACCAAATGAACAGGCAACCATAAGAAGTCATTTTGTCATGAATGTAATTTGTGAACAAGGATGAATTCCAGTCTCAGTGCTGGCACTCACAATCCTTGCACATGCATGACCTTGTGGTCAGTCACTGGGGGACCTGCAGCAGATTCCACAAAGAGAACTTTCTTTCCATAATTACTTTTTTGTTTGTTTGTTTGTTTTCAAAGCTGAAGAATGATGAAAGTTTGCAGAGCTTGGCATCTTATGGAAGGAAGATCTATAGAGATGACCTTCCAGCCATTTCAGGCTGTTTGCCATTCAGAAAGACTAAATTTTAATCTTTTCTGCCCCCAAAGTACTTTAGATAATGGTTGCTATTTGGCAAAATGAAAAATGAAAAGGAGGAAAAAAAAAAGCTAGTAGTAGGCTAATAAATGAAATTGAGACAGCCCTCTTTAAAAGCCAGCTTGTGCATATGACTTGTGTGCTGCTGGCTATTATCTTGTTTAGTTTGTAAAACTTATCTGGAGAAGAAAGCCTCTTTGTTCTATGGCATTCTCTGATTCAGGGATTTTTACAAGACAGACTAGTTTCAGCTGAAGCTAAACAACCCTCCTGGGAAGGTCCCTTTTCACAAATCACCACTTTCCCGTTCTGCTGGGATGGCTGATGCTCTACAGGACTTTGTCCCAGCTTGACTGTCTCTCTTTCCTGGCTCTTAGCCACAGCTGCTGCTCCCATGAGTGGGGTGGCAACAAATCAAGGCAGTCTGTAACACCATGCATTCTAGAGCCTTTTTCCCCCCTTTAAAAACAAATCAAAATACACTGCTGATTTTTTTTTCCAGCTTTGTTAAATCCTACTTTTCTAAAGGGGAAAATCAGAGGAAATAGGCAAAGGGACCCTCTTGTTGAGCTTTTCTCTCACATAAATGATAATTACCTGCCTTGCAGGAACAGAAAATGAGAGCCAAGGAGTCCTGCTCTATGCCCTTACTTTTGTTCCCACTTGGTTGTTTTCCTTGACCTCTGTCTGGCTGAGAAATGTGGCTCACAATGCTGAGAAATGCAGGGAGAAGGCTGATGATGTTAAATGTGCCCTGCAGCATATGGAGGGATAGGGAAAAAAGCTACTATCATGGAGACTTACTTTCTTACTTCTGAAAGATAAAGACATGAATAATTTCCCTGTTTTCTGATTTTGATAAATGCACATCAATTTACATATCTGGCATCAGAGTCTGTTCTTAGTCTCAGTACAGTAAATCTAGTTGGAGTCTGTATTACTCCAGTTTATACCAGTGAAAATGAAAGCAGAATTTTGTCTTTTATATTCATTCATTCTAAATGCGAAATTTTGAAGAAAATAAATGCAAGCTATTCATGCAGAAACTATAAAACAGAATACTTTAGATATTCCTATCACTGAATTTATGGCTTAATCATATAATATCTCGAATCTCAGCTACTCCATTATTGGCACTTTTAGTTGAATGTTACATTTCATGGCTCTAATTTTGTGCCAATGTTAGCTGGCTCAGACCCAGCAATGTCAATGAAGCTGTCCTGATGTAGACCAGCAGTTAATCTTGCCTTGCTATTATTATTATTTTTTTAAACTTCTCTCTTTTCACTGTTTTTAGGAATCATTCGTCTGAGGGATGGATTTCATGACCGCTACCCAGTAGAAGATTACCTTGATCTGTTTGACTTAGCAGCACATCAAATTCAGGGCGTACTGCAGAGTGAAGCAGCAAAAGAGCACAGCAAGACAAATAACATCATAATTGGTAGGGCAAATACAGCTTCTGAAATGTGTTTTTATCTCTGGATTTGTAGCATCTGTACTGTAGGCATGAAAAGGGCATTTTCTCAGGGGTGACTGCTTCACTGCATGGGGCCACTGATGCTTGTTTCCCCTGCTGTGCATGGATAGTGCAGAAGTTCTTATCTTGAGAAGATGCCTGAGAAAGCAATAAATGCCTGATGTTCATCAGCATTTAATTAAATAATAAAATAAAAAGAAAGTGAGGGAACTTGGTTACTCCTTCAAACACTGTTTTCATGTAGTTTTCATTACAAAGGGTTTGCCTGTATCCACAGGATTGTAGCTTCAGGTTCAAATGCTGCAATGATGTGAGTTTCTTCCCAGGCATAGCAAACAAATTGTGGTATTACTACTTACAAAACGACACTGTAGAAATCCTGTAGCTGACTGGAGACAGTTTTCATTATAGTGACACAAGAGGCTCTTCTCAAGCTCCATCATAAGACACACATAGGAAGAAAGACCACCGTGTTTTGTGTCATCATCCTTATGTAGCCACCCTGGCTTCAGCTGGGTTACAGCAGTAGCCTATGGTGGACTGAAATAAACATGATTAAACCCCTGAGCTGCTTCGTTAACAGCAAAGATAACACTCGTTCAAGAGCAGGAGTACACAGAGTCAAGCTGAAACTATCTTGCACTGTATTATTTTTCAGGTGCGGAAATGAGAGGCATAGTACAGGATCCAATTTGAAGACAATTTTATGGTTCCAGTTGATATTAAATCACTCAATTAGTATTAAAAATAGAAATATCCAGTTTAGAAAAGCTGTTGTGTTGCATGTTATGGAAACCTATGATCAAGTCCAGGCTCCATGGAAGGATGCCTGGATTGCTTTCCATGGCGTATCGTGGTCAGTAGACTATGCTCATCCACCATGGTACAAATGGATTGCAGTGCCTGTGAAGAACATCAGTGGAAATTCTTAGATTCTGTTTTTGCTTTCTTCTGGAAGCAGAAAACTGAGGGGAAGAGAGCTTTTACTCTGAGCTTTTACTCAGAGATCTTACTCTGTCGTCTCCAAATCTTCCAGGGAAACCAGACACCACCATGAAAATATTAGTTGGGCAAGAGTCAGTTCCTTGTTGAAAAGAGACTTTTGAAGTAAGCTGAAGTTATTATCCTATAGAAATTACAGACAAGGGATTTGCTGCCTGCTCATGGAGAGAATACCCTCAGAATCCTCTTTCATTTAATTTTAACCAAAAATAAATTAACCTATTGTTGGCTTGATGAAATGGTGACATTGTGTTACGTTTCTTAAGCCAGAGACTTGGCTATACTCACATTTGTTCAATACTTCCTTAGCTTTTAAGTCTACCATTTGATTTATTAAATATTCAGTGCTGAGCAAAATTTGCAAGACTGGGTCTTTAGAAATGTTGCCATAAAGGACATCTGCAGATTTTCCTCCTACTTACAATAGTATCTCCTGTCCTTTCATGGGTGAATTGTTTATACTAATTAAATACACTAATCTAATTGGCTATGTACATCTTTGATTACTTACCTCCTGTTACAGCTTTTTCTAGAGTTCAGTTTGTGTTTCTTTTTCCTGTAGTCTCATTTCTTGTTTCATTAAGGTTCTGTTCACTTTTCTTATTAAGTTTACAGGAAAAGTCCTGAATGATTATGCTCATTAACTTTTTTTTATTACCTTGGTGAAACAAAACAAAGCTAGCTACAATAGAATGAATCTGTATGAATGTCAGGTTTGCTTAGAATCCTGTGTTTTCCTATTTCAGGTTATTAGAAAGAAAAATCTAATTAAACCTGTAAACATTTCAGTAGTTCATCATGCTACGTTATTTTGAAAACGTAAACTTAATTGGGTATTATACTTAGTGGGCAATAATTCCATTTTTCCAAATAAAATTGTCTGCTTAGAGAAGATTAAAGTGGACAATGCTGAACTAGCTTGAGGCAGCTTGAGCAGGACTTGTTTATCTACAATCATTAATATCATTAATTCACAAGAATGTCTTTTGAAAGCACAATATGATTATAATCCATTAATGACTGAATATAAAAGTTATACATTTATTCTTTGGGAAGCTTAGTAATTCATATGTTCTTTAAGTCTTAAAGAAAAAATAATATATTTTTAGTTGCACTGCAGTAATTTCATAGAATTACTACAGCAGTGATTAATTTATCTCATGTTTGGTATGGCTGACTCTCTTTGCAGATATTAAATCTGTATTAGTAACTCAGAAAAGAGCACTATCAAATTATCAGAAGTTTTTTGGACTGCTTCAGGAAATTAAAATTATAATTAGCAGGGACCAGAATGTTTTTCTTTTGTTGTTGTTGTTTGTTTCTTTTAATTCTTAATGGTCATCTTGTTTTGAGAAGGCTTGCCTTCTGGAACCCAAGCTACATGTAGCCTGGACTATTTGCATTACAGCAGCACCTCAAGCCCTCGTTAATGCTTTAGCATGATTTGATGGTGTGCCGTTGGTCTTCCCTTGCTCCTGCACTGCCTTCACATTTTGGTGGTGGCGGCTGATCCAGCTGAAGTGATTTTTGTGGAGTATTTTGATCTGTGGCATTAAGACAATCTGCTCACTTATGTCTAAATACACTGATTTTGTTTAGTTCAAATAGCACGTGTGCATGCAGGTGTTCTTAGGTTTAGTCACCCTATGTGAGCTACTTAAGGAAATCCAATAGAGGGCATCAAATAAAATCAGAAGTCTGTGGAGCAGAGGTGTATGAAGGAAGATCAGAAGAACCGTATTGAGAGAGGAAGAGGTAGTGTATAAAAGAGTATGGAGTTGAAGAGCTTACACTGTAGCAAGAAATATGGGAAATTGTGCCCTCTTCTGCTAGCACTGGAATAGCTGTGTGATGCTTCTGTGGCCCAGTTATCTCAGCGCTTGTCCCATATTTAGTCTTTTGTGCTTGTGCTTTAACCATCACAGGAGCCAGGCTAAGTGAGTTTTAATTGACAAGTCAAAGCCTACCGATGATTAGGCAGTGCCTTGGCTGATTAATTTAGAATGAAAAAGCAGAGCTGTCGTGGACACCCAGCTTTAACCAATGGACCTGATCCCCTCCTTTTGAAATGAGGCAAAATGAACATGACAGAAGATTAATGTGTTTTCTAACAACTCCCAGGCTTTATTAATGAATCACATTATATTAAGCTAGAGTTTGGAGCAAATAACTATTTCATGTTGTGTTTTGGCAATCTTTTAAAATCTTTATTGGTCTTTCCCAAGAGAGAAAACAAAAACAGAAAATCATGTGCAGGTCTACAAGCCTGCAGCATTATTATTAGTTTTTTCATCTCATTCCTTCTGATTCAAAAAATCTCTTTAACTAGCTCTCATTAGGCTGTCAAAGGGTGGAAGTTTCCAAAAGGCTTCTATATCATATATGCTTTATTAAGCAGCAGTGTGCCACATAAATGCCACTATTAGTTAAAAAGACAGGGAAGACTGAGCAATTCAAAACATCATATCAGATCATATATTTAGCAGCTGAAGCATCATATACCTTGTTCTCGCGGAGGTGGTACCTATTGTGTTTCTCACTGTAGAAATGCCTTACATGTAAGAGTATGCCTCTTCAGAATCTAAGTATGTAAGAACTTGACATTTAATGAAATGTTAATCTTTAGTAAATACTTACATTTCACTTGTTCTATAATAATTGCGGTTACATATTAAAAAAAAAAAAAAAAAAAGCAGTGTGGACATTAATTGTTCATGTGTAATTCTTTTGAATGGTCTACACCAGCTATTGGATTTCCACACTGATACAAAGAATGAAATGAGTTACTAGCAGAGATGCTTTTCATTTCCAGGGGAGGCCAGTGCCTCGACGATGTGGGACAACAACGCATGGATTTTCTTTTATGACAACAGTACCGAAGGAGAACCTCCTTTCTTAATCCAGGATTTTATCCATGCCTTCCAACCAAATGCCAAACTTATCATCATGCTGAGAGATCCTGTTGAAAGGTGAGCAAAGACTGCATTGCACAAGCACGCAAGAACATTTTCTTACTATAACAACTTGATTCAGTCTTGCTCTGGGACACAAATAGATGCTCGTGTTGTATTTGGTCAGATTTTTTTTTTTTTTTATATTAAAAATGGTTGTTGCAGCACTCATAAAGCTTCCTAATGCAACCTTAGGTAGCAGAACTAACAGATACTTAGGAGTTTACCCTTTGTCTTCCTGACTTGTCTGCAAAGGAAGGGCTCTACTTTTCCAAAGTATGAGCTGCTTTTGATAGGTTTTCCACAGTTTTAGCCACAAATGTCCTTCTTTCCATTTGCATTTCACTCTTTCTCTTGCTTTTGTTTGAGACTTCTAGGGGATTTCTTTCCACTGTCTTCTGAAGGAGGAGGATAATGGAGGTGTGTGGGCTGAAGGAGACAAAGGACAGAGTCCTTTTCGGATACCTATTCAGGTTATGTGGGGCTGGGTCAGAGCTCAAGGGCAGAGCCACAGGAGCACCCAGGGAAGGGGAGAGCAGAATGCAGATGTTGATGGGGACCTACTCATGAGGTGCAGAGCTGTGTGAGCTTCCCATGTCAGCAAACACAGTTCTCAACCTTTAACAGCTTCTAACCTCAGGATTTAACAGATGGTAATTTTATGAGAAAGAGCTGGCCGAAGTGGATTCCTCATGTAAATTACCAACAAGTTCCCTGATTACTTTAACCACCCTCTGTAATGTGGGTGTAGCTCTTTGCCAGCTGTAATGGGAGTGAGATGAAAAGTGAGCTTCTCCTCCCTTACTGTATGTGCGGTAAATTGGTTTCTTGTTTGTGATGCCCTTGTACCTCACAGCTCCTCTGAATGGAGGAAGGAGCACTGGGGGACAGTTGCCTTACAGTAGCCAGGAGGGTGAGAGGGCAGTGTGCAGGTCCTGCACAAAGTCTGAGAGCAACTGCCCAGAGGCCCCTGAAAATGGGGTGTGTTTGAAGGACATCAAGGTTGGTGATGGTGGGTATTGATGGTGTCCTTATTTCATTGTAATGGATGGGGATTGAGGGTAATGACTTCAAGTAGCTTGAACAGCTGAAATCCTAATCAGCAAAGGTTTTATTACCACACAGATGTCCCCAGAATTAAAAACAGATGGGAAGAAATATAGAAAATCTCAGCTGCCCTGCAGAGAGAGAGAGCTTGTCTTCAAGATCATAGTTTTCCATAAGATGTCAGCAAGTCTTTAAAAGTATGGGTTTATTTTAATGCATGATTAGAAATACTAAGCGCTCCTATTAAGCCTTTTAAACAAACAGCAGCCAGCCCATGCTGTACGTGATGCCTGCTGGCTGATTTCCTCAGGCAGGAACCTTTCCACCTCCAGGAGCAGCTGGTCGTGCCCTACCCAGGATGAGTCTTATTCATATTGTTTGCTCACTGTTAAGTGATACTCTGCACAGGCACACACTTTTTTTGCAAACAGGAGACGCTGCTGTGTGTCTAATGTAGCTGAAGCTGGCTGGCTCTGCCCCATAGCTTTGCTTCATCTCATCCTTGCTCCCTTTGGTGGGTCCAGCAGAAGGACCCCAGAAGAAGAGTGCAGGTGGTCATGGTCCTCAAGCACAATTGGATATCACTGTCCTCAAGCACTGGTTAGTCTGGTCCATGTCTGGTACCCTTTCCTGTGCTCTGAGATTGAGCTTTTTCACTTAAATATATATATTTATATATCTATTGTCTTCAAATTGTTCATAAAACAGGACTAAGATGAATTCTTCTTAACTTTCATGGTAATTTTTCCAAAATGAAAAACAAGCCCCCAGTAATATATTTAATTTTATTTTTTAAAGTTTATCAGCATTAAATTAACAACTGTGGGACATAACTGATACAAACACTGTGCTGAGATTTTTATTTTTAAGCAGTTTTCAAAGCACCTAGATCAAATACACTTACAATGGGCAATGCATAGTATGGCAGAATATTGTTAAATTAGTAAATTGAGCAACCTTGGCAAATTCTCTGCTTTCACTACAAAGAGCAAGGGAAGGACACAGCAGCTGGGTCTGTGTGCTGCCTGTGCAGCTGGGTCTCCTGTGGACATGGGAAGTGATGCCAGTCAGCAGCTCGTCAGCATTTGCCAGACTGGAAAGAACTGGGCAAAAGTAATGATTTTCAGTCTTTCTTAATGGATGATGCATCGGTTACTGTTGCCTCATTTTCTATACTTTGCTGTGATTTCTATTTTAAAGGGTGTAAAAAGTGAATTAAAAACAGTCTGCAACATATGCATCCCTTCTCTTCCTTTTCAAATGAACAGAGAATTTCTGTCTGTCGTATGGGAATTAAAATCTTGTTCTTGCAAAACACTAACATAAATAATGAGTGCAGAGGGGCTATTCCTGTGCTTAAGTGCTTTGCTGGATTAGGGCCTAAACTTTCCAAATTAAATGATGAATTTTAAAGTACCTGTGGAACCTAGGGAATTAAAAATATAAAGCGAGTGCAATAGGAAAGACTACCACAACAATAAAATGATTTTTTATTTTTTTTTAAGAGGCTGAAAGATACCTCATGTTGGGAGATGGTGCCATGGAGTTGTAATATGGGTACTATGAGAATACTGGGAAAGCAAATCCCTCTCAAGTGTTACCAAGGCCAGCTTAGTAATCAGAGAAAAATTGTTTCTAACTCTTCTCATTCTTCTGTTGGGTTTGGTTTCAACTGTGAGCTGTTGAGATGAGGACTGTGTTGAGATGAGGCAGTGTGGAGCACCTTGTACAGAAGGGTACCAATATCTGCCCAGACCAGTTCTACCTTTTATAGATAACACAAATTTAAAGTATGTACATTCAAAAAATTTGCCTTTATGAGAAAATATTGGCTCATGCAATTACTAGGGTCTAGATCTCACAAGATACTGACCTAGCAAGTGGGGAAGATTTTGAGCAGCTCCATGGAGTAGCTGTCATTCTGAGCCAAAGCCCATCAAATTGAATAGAAAATGTGTCATGGCTGAACAGGGCTGCTGGGGCAATGTTACACACACGTGCCACTGCTCTCAATTCATGTAAGTGATTGCCATTGTCATGTAAATAGATCTTCTTTCATTTCCTCTGTCATTTACTTGCATGTATTTCATCCACAGATTGTACTCTGATTATCTGTACTTTGCAAGTGCTAATAAATCTGCAGAAGATTTTCATGAAAAAGTGGCAGAATCACTGCAGCTGTTTGAGAATTGCATGCTGGATTACTCACTGAGAGCCTGCGTCTACAACAACACCCTCAACAATGCCATGCCCGTACGTATTGCCAATAACATCGGATTCCTCGCTTGGATAATGACACACTGTGTCAAGGCTGTTAAAGTGCCAAAATGCTGTGCCTATAAACATCAAGAAATAAAACTTTCTTCCTTTTCATTTGTAAAGCGGATGACATAAATATATATGTAAGCATGTAAAAGCTGATGTACTGGCTCAGCTGTCTCCTCAGTCTGTTCCCTGATGAATGCCAACAGCAATAATACAGTCTTTCTATTGTGCAGGCGTATGGAGAGCACATTTAGGGAAGATTACAGTTTAATGTGTAAGCTTTTTGCAGATCTCTCCAAAAAGTAGCTCTGGCAAGGATCTTTGTGGTAGGAAATTGCCTCAAAATCAGAATAAATTATGTATTCTTTCACAAGAGAAGTCTACCAATAACTAGATAAATCCTCCTTTTATAAATTGTGCACATTTAAAAATGATAAAAAGAAATACAGAAACTGCTGGCAGAGGATTGATGTTACAGGCTCAGTATTCCAAAATTCACATTTTTAGTGTAGAACTGGCTTTGAATTTTCCTTGAGAGGGACATGAAAGCCTATGCAGAATAATACCGAGGAGACTGACTTAAAGTATCAAGTCTGGTCAATTTGCCATTCAATCCTGTTTTATTTGCTAAGGCTTTAACAGCCTCAGAGGGAATACTTCCCTCCTTTGTCCCCAGGGTGAAGTTATTGTTTCTTTCAGTCAATAAAATGACCATAAATGAGTTCATCACACAGGCCTGAGCCCCACAGCAGCAGGGAAAATGGGATATTCCTCTTCCTTATCTTGGCAGTAGTGTGAAGCCATAAGGCTTGGATGGTAGCCTCCAGGACCTCCACGGACATGAGTTGCTGCCAGGTGGTGCTAAAATACTTCCCAGGCATCTGCTTGCATAAACGGATTTCTTCCAGTGTTGAGAGAAAGGCAGGGAGAGAACCAGAAGGAGAGATTTTTTCCCTCTCTATTCTTCCTCAGGGTGCAGAAACACTCTTCATTTGTTGTCTTAGGCAGCCCTCAGAAGACACTAACCCAAGCAGATGTTCATAAGAAAACACAGATGCTAACTGTGTTCCTCTGGACTTCTCCAGCCCCTTGTTCAGACAAGCTGATAATCTCTGTTATGTGCATTGTTTCCTATAGATTGAAAAAGTTGGGGTCATTTTCCCCTGTGAGCTTATTAGATTGCCAATTGTATTTTGCTATTAGTTAGTATGTTCCTGAAAGAAGAGAGGTGAGTGTCATAGATGTCACTGGTGCTGGATGCCAACCTGTAAGGAATGGGGAATTTGTCAGCTTATCCGTGTGGAGAATCAGTGAAAAACAGAGAAATCTAGAGAAAGGCAAGCTGAGCCAAGGGAATCAAACCAAGCCCGCAGATGTGGATGTCATGGAAGGGAGAATAGCTTGGGAAACCCCACTGGTGCTCTTTGATGTGCAGGATGAATCTTATGGAAGTGCACTGAATCTTATGGAAGAAGATGACGTGTTTTGGAAGAAGTCAGTAAAATGTGCTCTATAGGGTAGGAAATCAAGGTTCCTGAAGAAAACTGAAAAGTAATGGGACAGATTAAAACTCCTGTTTCTGGTGAAAAGTTTTAAAGAAAGAAAGTTTTAAAAAAAAACGTTTTAAAGAAAGATTCTAGGCCTGTCTGGGGAAAGCACTGCACTGCCAACATGTACCGTGCAGCTGAGAATGGAGTTTCACTCACCTTTATCAGAAGAAAAAAGTGAAACCCAGTGCTGAGTTATGTGTTTCCCCAGAGTGCAGTGAAACCGGATACTAGCTAAGATAATCACATTTTTAATCAAATAAGTAGTTCAAATTCTTGTACAGCACGTATGTAAAGAAGTCTACTAAATATGGAGGCTTATTGTAAAAAGCAGCCAAAGGACACAGCCGAATCTCACATCATGATAACAGTTGCTTAGCAATAATCCAAAAATTGGCTTATTTGGGGGGAATTTAGGTAGTTTAGGTACATGAGTCTGAGTAAGAAACGAAAGAGACTTGTTATCTGTCTTCAGTACTGTGGTAATGAGACTAAAGTTGTTAAGTCTCTTTTATGAAAGACACTTATGACTTGGGATTCATGTTTCTGTCTTTTGAGCCTGAGCGGTTTTAGAAAATTATAAGCACAGTCAGAGGCTGGACTTTTATATTGCAACTTATCTAAAATTTAGGAGGTTGGAGGGAAACAGGTCAGGACAGGCTTTTCCCACCCATCCTCCTCCTCTCTGGTTTGCACAACCTGATGCTTTCAGCGTGTGCTCAGCCGACACCACGAACGCTGACGAGCAGCCACTGCTGCAGCCTAGATCTAGATCTGGAGATCACAATCAGAGGCCACCGAGCTTCTAGGAGGCAACGCTGTTACGCAGAGCTGCGGCTGATTCAGCAAATGCTGCAGGAAGGAGTGCGTGGTCAGGTCCTTCATAAAATGTTTCCACTCGTAGATAGGCCATTTGCAAAGATTTACATAAGCTTCACTGAAAGCAAGAGTAAGATTAATTTTTTTTTCATATGTTTTTTCATAGTCCTTCCAGAGAACATATTTGGGATTTTTGCCCAGAAGACATATGTGAATATTGGTTTGTTTTTGCTCAAAGTGATGTAAATTAATTAGATTTTTTTTTTTTTTTTTTTTTTTTTTTTTTTTTGTGCTTATAGGTAAGGTTGCAGGTTGGGCTTTATGTTGTCTATCTTTTGGACTGGCTGACTGTTTTTGACAAAGATCAGATACTTGTTCTCCGCTTAGAGGATCATGCATCAAATGTGAAATACACCATGCACATGGTGTTCCAGTTTCTGGATCTCGGTAGGTGTCCTCTGGCTGTTCTGAGATAAGTACAAAAAATCATTATTATCCTTCTTAGGTCATTTTTGCGATATTAGCAGACAAAACAAAAGCATGTGAATCAGTCTTGAAGGATTCATTAATCTTGTAGCCTTGAGTCAAGCAAAATTAAAATTCCCAAATTCCCATAGAACGGTTGGTGTTAGAAGAATTTAATAAAAGTATATTAAAAAAAATAATATATTAAAACCTTTCACATTGTAGGGATATATCTTATCAGACAGAAGCCGGTCCTGCTTCTGAAGGCAGTCAGGGCTTGTTTGTCATGGGCTTACATAGGTGCAAGAGCTATCCCACGCGATTTAAACAGCTTCAAGTGTTACCAGGTTGTGAATGCTGTTGCCAGCTAAAACTGATCCAGCATCTAAATGTGGGTATGTTGAAAGGTTGTGTTTTTAGCTGGGGAGAAGGCAAAAACTGTGTTTTGCTGTGTTGACTGAGACATCTGTTGCTAATCCTTGGAGAAATGCTGGCAGACAAACTGTTGCCCAATGTTGATTTGACAGTAGCGAGAGGATGAAAATGTGGCTGCAAAATAGTCTGACTGGTCCAAACGCTGGTCTAGATGATGAGAAAGTTTGAATGTGGCAGATTGAACAGATGAAGAGCTTGGCATCTTCTTCTTGAAGATGGTTTATGCTGGAAAAGTCTGTGGGTGCTTATCTTTCTGAAGTACGTTGTCAAGGGCTAAGATTTATGCCTGCAATATCTGTGTTACGTGTATATATATCCATATATATCACTATACCTGGGCATCACTTTGATCCCACTGACAACCTCAGAAACAGGACAAAAAAAAAAATAAATAAAAAAAAAGGAGGGGACGGGGGGGCGGGGGGGGGGGACCTTGTACAACCCATGAGTGAGTCTAATGGAGTTTCTACTAGGGAGTAGACAACTCACATCATTAAATGAAATAACAGTAAAAGAAAAAAAAAAAAAAAAGAATTTTGATTCCAAAATGGACAGGGAGCATATTCAGTGTCAGTGTTATTTTCTGAAAACAAATCTTTTCCTCTAGAAGTGACTTACGGTGTTTGTTGTACAGATGATTAATTAATATGAGAGAAAAACATATTTCCATATTTACCAAAAATGATTCATTTCACTAATCTAAACCTGTATTCAATATTCTGAAACACTGTCTGTGCTAACACAAATTCCATTTGTCTTCACTTGGCAAACCTTCCAACTTATTCATTTCTCTTCTTTAGCATGGGTATTTTTGGGGAAGAATACTAAGATAATATTCTGTTTTTCCACAGGACCTCTAAGTGAGAAACAAGAAGCTCTGATTACAAAGAGTCCTGCATCAAACACTAGACGACCTGAAGACAGAAGCCTGGGACCTATGCTACCAACAACAAAGGCAATTTTAAGAGATTTCTACAGGCCTTTTAATACAAAACTGGCACAAGTTCTTTTTGATGATGCTTTTTTATGGAAAAGGACATAATATGTAAATTTAGTGCCACAAATACAGTGCTTAAAGGAGTTTTTATTTTTTTAAATTCTATTTTTGTGCGTGGATATTTACATTTTTCCCATTCCAAAGAGAAGCCGATTGATGAGATGAGACTCTCACCTTCAGTCAGCACACTTCATGACAGTTATATCACATTTTCCTTGTGAGAATGTAAAGCATCTTGCTTATGAGTTTCTTGCAACTTCTTTTGCCCCAGCAGAAGTGTAGGATGGAAAAGCACTAGGCTATGTCTTACACTCTCGGCTGGGATGTAGAAGTTTAACCTTCTCTAAGATGCTGCAACATGGAATTAGCATCAATTTCTTACAATTACACTTATAATCTCATTTTCAATATATATTATTCATTCATTTTTTCAAACTATCAGTGTCATGTAGTCATTAAATTTTTTAAGTGAATTCAACCAAAAATTTTGTTTCTTTTTGTCAGCATGTTCACAAATAGTCTTCTCTCACACTAAGGTTTCTATGTCTCCTTAATTCTGAAAGTAACTTTAATAGGTAATTGCATTTACATAAATTTCAAAGTCTAATTTATGTCTTCAGTATAAATAGGCTTTCCTAGCCCCAAAATCAAAAGAAATTTTATATTCACATAAGAATGGATGACGGAAATTTAAACAACAGTCCACATTCAATGTTTAGTGTAACAAATCCATTTGCCTTCCACATTTTGTTCATGTAAACACAAACATGTATCACCTATTCATATCATTCACATTTTCCTAGGAAACCACTATCAGGCTTGATGTAAAGTCAATGCTGGCCATAGAGAGCTTTTATGGAGTTTTCTCTTCGGTCCTACACAAGTGCTCTACTCCATTGCAAAAAGTACGCATTTTTATATCACTACGAAATCTGGTCATTAAATGCATTAATGGACAGGATACACCATGTCATGCATCGTTATGGAAAGGATATGTTAAATAATGAACTAGTTGCACACTGTGTACATCTAGTTTAAAAAAGGCTTGAAAATAAAGACTTGAGGAAAAGCTATTATAAGGATGGTGGAGAAACTTTGGATTCAGTTTGGAGTCTGGAATGCCTAAAATAAGAAATTTAGGTAAGCTGTTCTGGACAACTAGAACTGTTTAGCTCTGGTTCAGAAATGTTTATAGATCAAAACTTCTTAGAGGAGTGAGAATGTTTTTTTTTTATCAGTCTAAAAAAAAGTATTATGGCTACATGAATCAGAAAGTCAGAATCAATTCACCACTAAAATTTTCACTCTATATTTTATTTATACTACACATTTCTGCTAGCTGTTCTCTGAATTAGAATCAACGCCACATGGCCAGTAAAACTTTATGGAAATTTTATTAAACATAACTGCTATGGACACACATTTCTGTATTTCTGTTTAGTTGCCAGCTACAACCATGATCTGATGCTATCTTAACCAACCCTAAATGCTAATGAGTGTCGTTTTCATTTAGTGTGAGCATCAATTCCCTAAACAAATCATATGCACTAGTTTGGGCATGGTGCTGAACATTAATTTCACCAATGGCCAGGGAGCTTCTCTATGTCCATTGCCTACTTGTACAATGTAAATTAGAACGTGCTTCAAGGTCAAAATTTCTGCCCTAGGTTGAATCAGCCCCAGCACACTGCTAGATCACAATCTTGCCTAGTTATGGCTCACAGGAAGGGGAAAGGTTGAGGGTTCCCTGTGCAAAGGAGGACAGTGATGGCATCTCAAGCAAGGATAGGTTCAACATAGAGCCGTTGGTGCTCAAGGAACCACCTTACGACACTGTGTTATTGAAAGGCTAAATATTAAAAAGTAGAAAATTAAAGAGGGCATCTCTTGGGAGGTTTAGGGGGCAGGGATGGAGGTGGTGGTGGTAAGGATTTTGTTGTCTGGTACAGACTGGAAAAAAATATTGAACTGGTGACTCAGAATAAAATAAAATATCATTTGATCTTCCTGAGTAATGGCAGGTGTCAGACCCCTTTTCAGTACCACTGCCGTTCAGTGGCTTCACTCTGGCCTCACAGCAAATCTCTACACGTGACAAGGCTCATCCAAAAATTTTCCAGTCTCTTTACCTTCCTGTTGACAGTTCTAGACGTGAAAGAATATGATATTCTTGTTGTTATGCACTGTAGCCTTGACTTGTCCTACATCCCAAGAGTAGTAATTTGCCAAGAATTTAAACTTACTATCAGGACAATATGTTTTCGTGTTTGCCAAAGTGTAGCAGTGGCTCTTTGCACAGAGCTCAGAAAATGTGTGCTTCATTCCCTATTTACTCTTATCTCTGCTGAACTAAAGTAATCAGGCGAGGATGCAGCCTTCCTGAGCCCAAAGGCACTGAGGAAAGGGTCGTTTCCAAATGTTCTTGCTGCTACTGCAGAAGAATGCAAAATGTGCTTTCTGTAAGACCTTGCATGCTTGGGCCAAGCACGTTGGCTGGCTGGAAGACGCGCAGTGAAAACAAAGGCTCTCCTGCTAAGAAAAACAGGCACTGATTTACAAAGAAAATGATACGCTGTTATCTGCTGAGTCCAGAGCACAGGCTTGTGTGCCTCAGCTAAACAAACTGAAAACAAGCAGCGGGGTTGTCACGGATCTGAATACAACTTTCTGCTAAGAAATTAATCCATCTTCCAACCAACGCTCTTTTATTATAGACGAGGCACAAATGTGGTGCAAAAAGGTAATAGATACCTCCCAACAGATAGCCCTGCCACAGGCAAGCCCAACCAGGCTTTTCTGAGCAGTAGTTTTCTAACAGAAACGCTTGTGTTGCAGTACCATCTTGTGGCTAACGTGTGCCATAGGTTGTGGGTTTGACATTTTTTTTTTCATTGAAAAAGGAAAAGGCAGGTTAAAAAAAAAAAATCCAGTTCTTTTCGTATGCCCACAGGGCATCAAATGCTCAGATTTTCTGGCTCCATTTATTGTAGCAGTGCTTCTAAGTATTAACACATGCATATCATTGCCATTAATACACTTGCCAGACTGCTGTCCTGAGAATCCTGGCTTACAGAGGTACTGCTACAGACTTTGATCCACACTTCTCTCTGGACCAGCTCTCTGGCACGGCCTCTGTCAAGGGAAGGATGTCAGCAGCAGCAGAGGCTTGAGAGATTTTGGCAGTGTCATGCTGGGGACCCCTGCTTTTAAGTCACGGCTCCTGTGGAAACTCTGCCTGCTCTCTGTGCTGCCTCCATCAACTGAAAGGCCCTTAAAATGATTGCCAGAGTGGCAGGGGCTTAATGGAGTTCGAGGCTGAAATCTGCCGTTGAAAATTAGAGTCCTGCTGTGTACACACTAAGCCCCAATTAACAGAAAATAATGTTTTAAAGAGGCACAAACAGCAATCAACGTATCGCATTTCACAGGAAGGAAATGCTTCCTGTCCCTCACCCTCACAGCTTCTGAGCATCCACTTGCTGAGCAAAAAAAATGCCTGTATAGGGCAGTGAGCTGGTTAATGCCTCTGGGGCTGGGGCACTAACAGCACTGCCTGGCACAGGATGCTCACACCAGAGCAGAGGGACCATGGGGACAGCAGGGGTCCCCAGCCCCTCCTGCTGCCCAGGTACATCCATCTGCCGTGCATGATCTAGAGGAAGAATGCTGAAAATATAACCCTAAGAGCTTTAAAATTGGCATTTAGTCACAGAAGTAGCAGTTGCTGGGGTAACAACTCATTGCATGGCAGTGGTGGCATTGCAAGTAGCATCTTCCCCAAGGAAAACACAGGCAAGCTATCATTAAGCCGTTCACTATTAAAACGGAGTGCAGACTAATTCACAGTTATTTCCTCCATCTGGCTGTAGTTCACACACTTAGAAAATGATCTCTTCTTCTACTTTAATAATGAATGGGAATGAGCAAAGGGAAGGGTTGAGCTTGCACTCAGAGCATTGCAGTAGAAGGAAAAACTCATCCTGGGAGCAGCTCCTAAAACTTTCTTTATTTCAGGCTACAGGGGCCTAAACCACAGATGACTTGCAAATAATGTGAGCTTTAGCTTTTGATAAATCTAAAACCAGCACATCCCAATTATCAAATATTTTACATTTTATATTTTAAATTTCCCAGAGACCAAAGGCCTTATTCACCAGTGATGCTCACAGCACAGCCAACCAAGCTGGGTCTTTTCCCCCGGTTTTTGAACCAAGGACCAAAGGATGTGACACAACAGTTGCAGGAAGGTATAGGAGCGGGAGACATAGGAAAGAAGTCTTGCAGTTGAGTCAAATGAAATCCTGGAGTGGTGAGAGAAATCGATTGTGCAAAATTGCACTGAAGAAAATAAAACCAAGCAAGGTAGCCAAAAAAATAGAAGAAATTGGACAGAGAAATAAGCAGAAAGAGGAGAGACATGCAGCTGTCAGATGGAAAGGAAGAATTGATTTTTTGATCAGGTGAAAAGGCTTAGGACAAGAAAATAATGATATAACTTGGGGAAACCATGTTGCCTTGGCTGGAAAGGTATCAGCTGAGCTCACCAGGGACTGGGCTTTTTGTTTCGTGTTGTACTGGGAGATTTCACCTCAAGGTAAGGAGGGGTGGGATGGGATCTGCAGAAAGGCTCTCAGCTGCCTCTGTCTGGCTCGTAAAACAGCCACTCACTGCATTAATGCTTCGGAAGGAGCAAACTATATTAAAGGGAATAAAACAACTATATTATTACGGGGAAAGGGCCAACATAAAAACGGGAGCTATATGACTGGGCTAAAAAATCTGAAAGAGGGGCTAAATGCTGCATTTATAGCTAAGAAGAGGAAAGTGTTGGTATTTGGAGATTTTTTATTTTTATTTTTTTTTTCTGTAATTTTCCCCTGATTGTTTCACTAAGGTGCACATTGGTACCGATCTGTACCCGCAGCATCACTGGGGCTTGGGGAGGGGGGGGTGGTCCTCCGGCACTGATTGTTGGGGAGCAGCAAGGAGCGGTGAGGCAGGCAGGACACCGCAAGAGGGCAGGGCATAGCTGGAAATTCAGCCGGCATGCCTGGGACAGCTGCGGCTCACAGCCTGCAGAAAGGGTTTAGCGGAGATTTCCCTACAATTGCACCGAGGGGCAGAGGGAAGGCGGCTCTCATCACAACGCAGATGATGCATGCCTAACGCAACATAAATCGTATGTAACAGAGGTCACCATAACCCAGCATAGCACAAAGAGCACCTGGAGAATTAGGCAAAGGAAAAAAAAGGTGCACAGCTGGGCCATTTCCACCCTGGAGTGTATTAACTGAGAGTGCCATTGATGCTGGTCGTATCGTGGCATCGGCATTGCAATCCCCTTTCACCCTCCTGCGGGAGCCAGCCAGCACTGGGGTACCCAGCACATCTTCCAGGCTGCTCTGATCCATCCTGCCCAACACAAATCCCTTCTCAGAGCTCAACACAACCGATAAGGATTTTAAAGGTAATAAACAAAAATCCTCCTTCTTATTGTGATGGGCAAACCTAAGCCCAGATTCTGTGAATTTATTATTTTGGTGCATTATTTACATACCCTACAGGATAATATATCAGGAAAAACAGAGATGAAAAATTCTTCACCACTAAAAAATAGTTTTGTAGCAGTTGCACGCTAAACTGTCAGTTCAGTGTTTATTGAATCATTTAAAAATATTTTTAAATGCTGTGTTGCCTTACGTTAATATTACCAAACTGAGGGGAGCTGAAATATCCCCTGCCACAGCAGTACTACCAAAACATTGAAAAAGTTTCTTAGACTGAAAAAAACCACCTGGATTTAAGTAACACCTCTTAAACAGGGACATATGAGCCAATCCTTGAATCCCCGTGCAGCAGTGCTGCGTCATCTGGCCCAAGGTAAATCCTATAACACTTGTGCCCAACCCAAATCCACAGGAGTATGATGTGTGGCTTGATTCAACAGTTACGTTTCTCGAGCTCGATGGCAAACCAAGCATATTTCTTTGCAGCAGGTGGTGCTGCAGAGCAGACCTGTTCTTGTATCTGTGGCTGAGCTTTTTAAAAACTGTATTTGGAAAGTACTGAATATATA